AATTTGCAAATTGTAATTAAACACAGTTCTAAGAAGCCCTGGTTCGTCATACTGAAGAAGTGTAAATAGTTCACAAGAGTTAGAATTTCAATGCCATCAATATTTTACAATTATCAAAGAAGTCTTTATCATACAGTCCACACTATTAACGAAGTCGTGTTAAAACAATCCCGCAAGCATTTGCTTTGCGACACTCAGTTTTCTGACGCGCTGAATGTTATCTGTACCACGCTTACACAAATTGCCTGTCTGACCAAATTCACTTTCGTTAAATACATCTGTAGTCCTCCGAAGTTGACAGATGAGCTGCAAAATGAAAATACATCACATGAGCGACGGTGTAGTAAGGAAAATTATATTTTTGTTAAAACCTGTTAAAACATGTATGTCTACAGACTCTGCACAAGTGAATATATGAAATATCGTACATTTTGACCGCGGAGAACGCCTGAAAAAAATTCAAGCCTGAACGAAATTCGAACCCATCACCTCTGCGATAAGCCAACTGGGAGCTGGTCACATTGTGACTTCGTAATATACCCGCAGATGGTGAAGAATACAAGTGTATATATAAAATACTCATAAGAATACAAGTGAATATATGAAATATCATATCTCTGGACCTGAATTTTTTTCAGGCTTTAATTTTACAGCTGCTAAAGTTGTGCCACGGTGTATAACTGCGATGGTCAATCATGTCTTCATATCTTTCTCCGCAGTCCAAATATATGATATTTCATATTTCACTTGTATTCTTCACCATCTATGGGTATATTACGAACTCACAATGTGACCAGTTCTCAGTTGGTAGAGCACTGCACCGGTATCGCAGAGGTCATGGGTTCGAATCCAGTTCAGGCCTAAATTTTTTCAGGCTTTAATTTCACAACTGCTTAAGTTGTGTGTATAGCTGCGATGATCAATCCGGCATGTCTTCATGTATGTCTACAGTCGAACCTCCTGGCTCCACTAACGACCACCTCTTTACAACGGCCACTGCCAGGTTCCTTCTGTCCCCAGGATGGCCGTTATGGAGAGATTCCATTGTAGTTCCGAAGTAGTGTACAATTTCCGATTAGTTAAAGCACTAAGCTATCAGTGAACAAGGCAGAACATTTAAAGATTTTAATTCAGGCACGTTTAGTTAAGCCATTTTGGAGGGGAGGGTATATTTAAGGAGTTTCATATAGAGAGTGATGGGGTTAGTATACTGAAGTGGGGTTGTTTTGGATCATAAATCACCTATAGGGTATATATAAAATAAGATGGTGGACTTGGGTAAGCTTGCAGCCACAGAATACGCCGGCATTGCCTTCTTTGTGTTCTTTTTGTTGCTATATATTTTAGAACTCCAAGAGAGGATTAATTAACAATTAGATTATGAGCTCGAGATTTCTATGAGGTGACAGTTGATGAGGCCGAAGGCCGAATCAAATATCACCTCATAGAAATCGAGAGCGAATAATCTAACTGTTTTAGTAGAATTCTTACTAAAATTTACTTCAAATAACGGTTTCCAATTACTTGACGTATAATTAAACTTTGCACCTGAAAAAGATCGCTTGGATTGAATTGTCATTTAAAATTGAAGTTGTGTGCGCGCGTGCATCAGTTTTTTTCAATAATTTCTACTTTTTTACAAGTCAAGAAACCGTAAATGTCCTTCGTTTACACTTCTCAGGAATTTACCTATCCATTTGCATCAAAATTTTCCTCCAAAACTTTGGAAAAACAAAAAAAAACCGTCGCTATTTCCTAGACGACCTCCAGCCACTCTCACTAATGGCTGATAATGTTCAATGGCCCAGCCAATCATATTACAGCACTCGCATTAGTGTACTAGTAGAATGCTATTAATTACGGATAGCATTGCTATTCTCCCACGTTCCCTTTCATATCCTTGATTCTTTACTGGTTACACTTGGCACAGAGATAGAAAAAGTTCTCTTTTCATAACACACACAAAGGGTGAAGAGAGATCTCAGTGCAGTGTTTTTGTGTTGATAAATTACCAGGACTTGTCATCTAGGGAAAGCGAGAAAAGAGCAGCTGGAAGGAGTTCTTAAAGTTAGGGGGGGAAGCTCAGTTTAGCGTATAGATCTTTTACAGAAGTTGGTAAGAAAGTTTTGTGAACTTCTTTGCTATTATTTTTTGATGTGTTTTTATTATGCTATAGTCCGAGTCTTACCACTAAGGACTCTTCAGAATCGATAGTGTCAGATCCATCCTTGTCAATTTCATTGAAGTATTGTTCCCGTACCGCGCGCTCAGATCAGTCGCCAAGGTCATCGAGTACTTGCATTCTTATGAAAGAAATATCAATACGGAACGGCGTTATGAACCGTGACTTGAGTCAAATGACAGGACCTACTCATAGGTTACTCAAATACCATGTGCTGCCATGTTTGGAACAGCTTTCCCACGAAACTGAAATCTGGAGAGACCATCTCAGGTGTTGTGTAGTAAGAACATTTATGCAAGATGAACCAAATCCTGCGCTGTGATTGGCTACCTGGCTTGAGACTACCCGTTGTGTCCCGCAAGAAAAAAATGCCCGTAAGCCATATGATAAATCCTTTATTGACCACAGTTGTTCGGTCAAGATGGCTGAACTGATATTGGCCTCGTTCTTTCTTCACGAGTTTATGGACCTCAATGCCGTCTCGGTCCATAAACATGCAAAACAAGCATCATTGGCTTGTGTGGAGCGCTGCTTTCATCAAACGCTTCAAGTCTACCTCAAGCTCGCTCATAATTTTCATTTTACTTTGCTTGCACCAGGAATATATATTTTCGTGCCAAAGAGGCGTATATCACTTTTGGGGCCGATTTTCATTTTTTGAAGGATTGAGCTGATTTTTTTGCATACATTATTTCTCCAAAACGAAGCCCAAATCACCAAAAACAATTACGGAACGATGCTTTTCATGTCAAAACAAGTCAGTCTGCCAAAAATTAGCTTGATCCTGAAAAAATGAAAATCGGCCCAAAAAGCAATATTCCCCTTTTTGCATGAAACCCTTCAATTATTACATATCTCTACATGTATATGCCCGGAAATTAATGAATATTAAATAATAATAATATACATTAACAAAACAGGGATGAGTTTTAGGAGGTAAACGTGTCACAGCAGTTACATACCTCTAGAACTGCAGATACCATTCCTTCACTGGTTGAACTGTTGACAACAGCAACGCAAGTTTGCATTGCTGCATGAAGGTCACAAGCTTGTAATGATGGCAATACAATGACTCTAAGAAATCTGGAAGATATTCAAACACACCAAATACATTTTAGTTTCCCCATTTTCACATTTCTTTCATAATACAGCATACATTAACAGTTGTTTCTCATACCACCAAATTGTGTCATTTCTAAAAATTTTCTTAAGGAACCCTTTAACTAAAGTTAAAAAAATACCCATGTACATGTAGCTGGTATTACAGTTACTATTAAAAATTGTATCTTTGGACTTTGCATTTGACCTCTCTCGCAAATTCAGTGTCAAGCTAAAAACTGAAAAGTTATCAAAACAGTCAAACAATTCAAACTGTTTTGTCAGGTTGCCTCAACAGGTCACTCGTACCCATGACCACTCCTGGGTGAGGAAAAGCACTGTGAAAAACTGTGTCTTGTCCAAAAACAAAACACAATGAGCAAGGCTGTCAGTTGATCCCAGGCCGCTTGATTTGGAGATTCTTAGGCCACCTCATTTCTCATGTGGTACACTGTACAACAAGGAAATATTTCTAGCCTAGTTGATGATTTTATTTTGAAATTATTCTCATCACCTCTTGAACAGCTTGGCTAAATTGTGTCGATATTTTCTTCTTGCAACATCAACATATAATCATGTGCATCACTTTTGAATGGATCACAGAGTTAATGAGAACTGACTAACCTCTGGTCCAACTACAACCACGTTGACGAGATGGTCCTCTTTATGCCACTCTAAACAATAGTAAGTAAAATTGACAAAAATTAGCCATAATAATAATAATAATAATAATAATGATAATAATAATAATAATAAAACCGAAGAAACAATAATGAAACTAAAAATCTTCTACTGCCTTGAGGTTAAAAGAAAACAGATTGAACAGCCTTGTCTAAGGGGAGTGCGGATGCAAGAACTGGCTAAATAAAATGTAGTGTCTTAATGGACATGTTGCCCAATGCCAGACCACTGGCAATGAGGACAGCTTCAGTCAATTCTCTGGATACTTGTTCTGGCCTCAGTTCTTTTACAACACTACAGTGTCCACAAATATGTTTAATCAATCAACTGATAATGTTCCATTAATCTTAACTTTTTGTTCAAAAACACCCTTTAGAGCAGTAGATATATCTAGAAACCTTTGTGGCATTTCAGGTGTAAAGGCATGGGATCGCCTAATAAAAGGGTTCCCAAATCTCCACTGAAACAGTGGGTATTATATCTGGGGGTGGGTGTATGGAAATGTAAGCAAAAAATTGAAAATAATAAGAATTCAAAATAATATTAGGTCAAATTGTTAGATTTTAAAGTGTACACTAACATTGAGGGACCAACAAACTGCAATGCGGCCACATCTACCACAAGGTAGTGTAAAAATAATGATAATAATAATAATAATAATAATAATAATAATAATAATAATAATAATAATGATAATAATAATAATAATAATAATATAGAGGAGAGATTAGCATGGAGTGGTTAGTAGAGAAAGGGGGAAGCTAGTTAAAATTGATAAAGTGTCCAAATTAATTTTACTTACTAAATGACAGGCTAAACCGATCAGCTAAAATTTATTGACTAACCTTCAAGACACGTTGGTTATATCAGCTTCTGTATTATGTAAGCAGGTGACTAGTAAAATCTGATTTCTCTTGTAAATCTTACCTTTTTTCCTGGTAAGATTCGATCAAGTCTTGCAACAAGTGAGAACAACATCAGCCGAAACGATGCGAACGCAGAAATTGTTTTCTTCGGCAAGTTTGTTTTGCTTCTCGATTGCAAATAATCAATATTAATAACGTTATGTATAGTCAATGATCCTCACCAGATGCTTCGTTACCCCCTTTCGTGACTTCCGTGCGGCGATCAAAAAGATGACAAGCGCTAGGAAACGCCATCCTTTCCAAATGCAGCGTTTATAGCTGTTCAGCACGCTTTTCATTGTGTTCATTTGTGAAAAATATATTCCCTTGCGAACCTGTAGCAGAATAATTTGCTTTTTAACTCACGTGGTCCGCCTGCATGCAATTTTACTGAAACGTAGAAAAGTGGTTACGTGGGGAAGAGTTCAACTCCCACAGGACTGGTTTGGGACTGTTTGGGACGAAAGGTACCAACATGGCCGCCGTGACGTCATGTGAAAGCGTTGTGGCTACATAACAACAGAGAGCCTGGGAACTAGAGGGAAAGTCACGTGAGAAGTCATATATAAGTTTTGGCGCCGCATTTGATTGTGTTTTCCTTCGAGAATCGTCGAGGATCGGTTCAAAATGGCCGAGTACAACGCTTTGTTAGACGGTACCAAAGAACTCTTGGAAGGTCTCACTATTGCTAAAGAGATAAGTCATCACTCAGGTCAGTCAGTCTACACAAACCAATTAACAGCTTTCTTGCACTGAAAGCGCCCATCCGACCCGTGTACCGAACCCAAAATTTAACCTTAAAGGAGCGCAGTCACGGTGTAATCATCCACTAACTATGGTTTAATTGCGCATATCGAAAAGTCTAGCCTCAATTTTTCAAATTCGTTGTTTGTGATCCGTGTTAATCTTCTCCATCCTTAGCCATCCTTTTTCCTTTACGGTTTATCGTTTTCTCTTTGGTGTTTTTCTATTAAACTATTAGTTTCAGGTTTCCTACCATTTAAAGGTGATTTTGTATGTGGCCAAAATAACTCAAAATAGCGTGACTGTGCTCCTTTAAGTGTCCGTTCGTTTCAATACAAATCGAAGTCGATTCCACACAAATCTAAAGTATTCGATACAAACTGAAGGCGAATCAACACAACCGCCTCTTACCTCGTTTGAACTAGAGGGAAGCAGTTTTGCTACACAATAAACTAGTGGTTCCAATAGTTGCTTTTCACTGTCACGCAACCAAAAAATAAATCGAAAACTATTCAGTGGATAAAGTCAAGAAATTTTAATATTATAGGAGACAGGTAAAGAAGACACTTCTCCCAGTTTTGGGTCTCTGTGTTTTTCCAAACTTCAGCTATTCGTCGAAACGTTTTGCGCAAATTTACAGAGCCCAGTTATGGAGCCGCCATGTTGGTGGAGCTCTGTGCTCCACCAACAATTTTCGTGGCTCTTTAGTTTTGGATTTTGGAATTTGATGACGTCACGTGAAAACGATCTATTAGTGGTTCCGTAAATGGCAACGTCGTACCCAGGGTCTCTTATGTCCCCTCCCTTCCGGAGTGAGAGAGGGTTGAAGATGAGAGACCCTGAAAATCAGAATCACTGAACATATTAACGAAGGTGAAAACACTTTAGTTGGAATATTTCCTCAAGTTTACTTTTGCAACGAAATGACTTCAGTTTGTAGCAAATCGACTTTAGGCGTAAACCTTTAAACAGTCCCTTCTGTGGGGGGAGTATGGATATTTTCTGGAACTGCACATTTTCAATGTTGGGAGAGAGATTCAAAAGCGAGAAAGATAATTGCAGTATAAAGAGGATCATGTAAAAAAAAACATGCCTGCTCACAGGTTGGTTTGTTCACTACTTACTGATTGAAGGAAAAATACCTGGGCCCGAGGGGGAGGGGGATGGGAGGGGGGTGCTGACTGCCACATGAAAAGATTGGGGATACTTGTCATCTCACTTAGGAGTGCAAATCATAGATTTTGGTCTCTGTCAGGTGCTCAGGGTGAAACACCACTATTTTTAGCTGTCCAGGTATTTTTTAGGGTAACATACTTGTAAAGTAACAACAGCAAAATGCCATCATGTCTGTTTTACAGTGACATCTTTAGCGAAGCCTGACAACCTTGAAGAGGAAAAGGTCAAGTACAACTGTTTGATTAAAGAAGGCAAAGAATTAGGAAGAAGAGGATGTCTTGAACAAGCCTTGGACTTATTTCAGAGAGCCTATGAGATATTTGAGTCTGAGAAGTTGCTGAGAAAAATTGAAAGAGTCAAGGTAAAGATAACATTTGCCATTCAGCTGTCTATGCTTTCTCATTGTGTGCACCTTGTATGTCCCATAAAAAGTTAAACTGTAGTTAACAGTCCTAATAAATAAAACATTGAGACGTCATGAGAAGGTACTACCCTCATTTGCTAATTTATAACCAGAAGTGCTAATTTATAACCAGAAGTCAAAACGTTAATTTTAACACTGTCAGGGAATTTCAAAAGCTAATCTTTGAAGCATTAAAAAGCTCTTTGTCCGCGCAAAGTGAGCCTTTGCAGGTTATTTTAAAATAAACTTTGTCCACAGTTCATACAGAGTTTAAAATATCTAGGTAGGTTTTGCACTGTACTTCCTTGAAGACACTGCAGAACAGGTTTTGTAAAAACTACCAGTGAATGGTAACATTGCTCAGCTTCTCGATTTGCTAGTCTCGTTGTTTTCTGTGGGTCATAAACATGTTGACTATATGTGGAGTGATAAATAAAAAGTTGCTTTGAAAGTAAAAAGTCTATACAAACAACTTCTCTCTGAAAGCACAAGTGAATGATGAAAAAACAAGACATGTGAAGATATGTCTCTGTCAATAACATGCTGTATAAGGGAGATATCATGCAGTAACTTCAATTCAATTGATGGACTTATCACAAAATTTTTCTTATGGTTAATTATGCTTAAGGTGGTAAATTTTCAAGTCCCTTCATAATTTTTGCCAGGAAGCTATAGAAATGTACCAGTCGGAAGAGGGACAGGCAGAAGAGGGAAATGGAGATGAAGAAGAAGATGGTGATGGTGATGATGACGGAATGTCTTACTGTGATGTTGGTGAAGGCTTTTCTCTGCCATCAGAGATTTACAAGTGCTTATATCAATACCAACTGGAGGGCATCCTTTGGTTTTGGAGTTTGTTTAATAAAGGAATGGGAGGCATCCTCGCTGATGACATGGGGTGAGAACAATACTATAGTGTGCACAGTGATGTGCTTATTAAACATTGTATAGGTGTACCAAATTAATGCTCTGCCATCAGTGATACCTGTCTGGTCACAGTGTCACAGGTGTCAAAGATTCAACTGAGAATTAAAAAATATTATGACTGGTTGGCTCAGGGTTAACAATAAGCTTCCAGGTCTGCTATTTTGGTTTCGTTACAAAAACATTGTAATCAAAAATCTTTTACTGACAGATCTTTTGGCTCCACAATCAACTTATGGTCACCTGACTGTTAAAGAGAGAAGGAAAAATCAACTGAAAATGAATAAAAGATATTAACGAAGTTTTGAAATGTTGTGTTTGTAGGCTAGGGAAGACTATTCAAGTCATATCATTCCTTGCCGGTATGTTTGATGCAAAGTTGATCAAGAGGGTCTTAATTATAATGCCAGTGTCAGTGATGCCAAACTGGGAACATGAATTCAACAAATGGTAGGAGTCAAGTTTCGATGATCATACTCAGTCCCATTGACCAGTACTCCAACTGACCCAGGGTGTAATAGACTCATCAATCAGTCTATAACTTATCATGCATTCAAAGGTGTATTAAAATGCACCGCAAGCTGTTCATGTTGCCCTCTTTCGGCGTGCAATGTCAGGCTCTGATAACTTCAGAAAGCTGTTCAAGATATTTTATCTTTTAATTATTTATTTATTTATTCTAAATATGTCAAAATAGAAGCATTATTGTTTCAATGTAAATAAACTCATCACCAAAATGGCTTATAGCAGTGGGTTAACAATGTGTAGAAACATTAGACTGTGTTGTGTTCATTGTCAAGCAAGATACTCTCCAAGCTAAATGAGTACCACAGCCAGGTGCTGGACTGCTATTATTTTTAGTCGCTTCAAACGATAGAAACCACTTTATAATGAAATAATGCGTAAGAATTGTCATTTTTAGGGCTCCCGGTATTCGTGTAAAATCTTTTCATGGAACGAACAAAAAGGAACGCTTCAGAAACCTAGAAAAAATTCAAAGACGATGGGGTGTTTGTTTGACGACCTATGGTAGGTTTATTGTCAGTCATGTTTTCTTTTTATAAATGAGGGGCTTAGCTAGTACTGGGGTGCCCATGACCCCCTCTTTTGTAAGCCTTTTTTAAGCAAACAACCAACAACAGGTGGCAAGAATGGCATGATAATCTGGTGAGTGCCCTCACTTTGACACAGTGTGACCCCCCCCCCCCCCCCCCCCCCAAATCTGCCCTACACCCCTGTCTTGAATAGGTTTATGATGATCAGGTTAAAATAGGAACAACAAATATTGTCATGAATTCTGTCACATATCCAATGCAAGGGTTTCACCAGAGTTTGTCAATTGTATTGTTTCATTATCTTTTGACATGGCTATGAAAAGTTTAAGCATTTTGCATAGTTTCTTTGATTGTGAATGGCTACAGAACCCTATTTATACAATACCTGCAAGTTCTTGTACGTTGTCACCTATTTTGATAATGTTTGGTACTCAGTTATGTTAATATCAAGTTTAATTAGATTCCAGCAACCTCTACAGAGGTAAAATGTACAGCATGAGTCACTTCTGGAAATACTTGTTATTACAATTGAAGTTAGCTCAATTAGTTTTTGCCACAACTATGTCCACCAAAATCACCAAACTTATGAGCACTAAGCTGAAGCAAGCTGAAAATAAATCATTGTTGATATAGATACTCTTTCACAGCTCTTTATTGTGTTTACTTTAAAATTGTCGCAGAACACTTCTTCCAACTAGCAGTTCTCTTTGATGTTATATCTCATAGGTTTGATTTTAACAAGCCATGAAAAGTTGGCGGAAATAACATGGGTAAGTAACATATACAGTCATTCTAACATGGTTTATCTAAACTACATCAAAATAAAACAGATCTTATAAATTATTAATCTTTATTATTTTTGGCTTCTTGTGATGGAAAACTTTTGTTTGTAGCTCTATTGTCTGGATGTGTCAAACTCACTGGTTGTTTATAAAAAAGATCAGCATCAATGACATGTAGTAGAGTGGTTTTCAATTGAGTGTCGTAAAACCAAAACCTAACAAATTACTTACCAATTAGACTACTGAGCCAATCTCAAACCGTAGTAAAACCAAAACCAAAACCAAAACCAAAGTAATTGTCTAATTACTTTCGACACTCAATTGAAAACCGCTCTTAACATTCTGATTAGTCTATTTTCATCCAAGAGGCTTTGTTTGAGTATTCGCTTTGTCATTTATTAAATTTTTGCAAAACTTGCACTGTGAGTTTATATTTAAATATCCTGTATATCATTTGTTGAAATGAAAGGATCAGTCCTATATGTATTAAAACATTTGCACTGTGTGACGGATCTTTTAATCAAAATAGCCAGGATGAACTGTGCAATTTGTAAACACTTTTTTCCTGGATTGTTTTTTCATTGAAGGATTACATCATTTTGGACGAAGGTCACAAAATCAAAAACACAGCAACAAAGACCAGCAAAAACCTCCGAGCAATCCCTGCAAAATACCATTTTATTCTGACTGGAACACCAGTACAGAATAACCTAAGGGTAAGTCTTACTGTATCGCAATGGACAAAAATGTTGAACCACTCACTTCAAGGCCACACTTCTGCTTATTTCTTTTCATGTGTTTAAAAAGAGAAATTCACAGCCCCATTATGGAATAAAAAATTCTAGAAATATGCCCTTTTAAAAGCACTTTGACTGAATAACTTTAATATAAATAAACAAATCAGAAACTCTTCAATTGCTAGTACATGCCACTGTATTAGAATATGAGATATTTTGTTTAATGATAGATGACCTATTCTGACTAATTTTTGGCAGGAAATGTGGGCATTGTTTGACTTTGCTTGTGAAGGCAAGCTGTTAGGAACATCCCGCACGTTCAAGCAAGAGTATGAGAATCCGATTGTGAGGGTTAGTTCACAAAATTTCAAGAAAGTCATCCAGTCAATTTATTTCTCCTAGATCAAAAGATGTACTTAGAATATAGAGAGGAAAAACCAAGAAAAAGAATACATGTATAAGAGAAATGGATTCTTACAAGTAGTTTTAATTAGATGCACACACAATTTGCTGACTTGCTCCACAGTTTACCACAGGTCTTATTGTCTTTAGAAATAGAATTACATACTTGATACCTTCATGAAAATTTTACAGCACAGGCACGAAAAAGCAGGTAATGGCATATGACTGCATTTAACTATTTTGCAATGCTGTCAAATTATGTTTGGCACCTGCAGAGATCGGATGAGATCCATGAATGCTTCATTGTGTCAAGTGTTGCAAATTAAAGACTCGCTAGTCCTGTCACAGCATGAGATGCATCAGGGAATTGTTCATTAGGGATATTAACTACTTTTAATTACTTTTGTTTTCCCCTTGCCTGTAGTTTTAATCTGTCTTAAATGATCCTGATTCCAAAAAACTGTCCACAAAAATTCTGTTCTCGAGTCTCTTAAAATTTCTTCTATCTTCATAGAGAGGGAATGAAGATGCACATTGCCAAGCGGATAAAAACAGATGTAAACAAAAGATTAGTCTTCACTCTTGAACTTGGTAATTTCTCTTAATGTAATTCCATCTGTAATCTGAAGAACATTTGACATTTGTTCATCTTGTCCTTTCCATTTTCTGATTTCAGGCAAGAGAAAGGGATGCCAGTGCTTATGAAAAGCGCATTGGAAATGAGATGTCAGAAAGCTTACGCAAGCTAATTGAGCCACACTTTCTGCGTCGTACCAAAGCAATGGTACTAGAGAACAACGAAACAGAAACTGATGGAGTTGATGAATCAGTAGAATCAGAAAAAGAAAACAGACCAAATTATTCATCTAAGTATGACCCCTGTTGTCACACTTACTTATACCTAGTATTATTTATACCATAGCTCATTCATAGTACTCAGGCCTGGGTTGTTTGAAAGGAGTATGACACTATCCACTAGATAAATCACCATCCAGCGGATAGCGTGGTTTGTTTTGTTAACACTTATCCAGTGGATAATCACTTATCCGGTGGATAGCGTTATCCAGTCTTTGAAAAATTGGGACCTGCTCTGTGACTATCAAAAGCCAAATCCAAGCTCTGACCTCAACTCAAGAAAGACAATGTTTTATTATTTGCAGCAAGAAGTAAGCACCATTGTTTACTACAACTCACTGTACTTAATCCATGGTTAAATGTTTAAACAACCTGACACACCAGGAGATATTTTTAGGCCTGCTTTAAAGTAAATATACAACCTGAATCTACATGCAACATATTGGGGAAAAAAATATTGGACACATTAAAACATATTGGAAAAAAGAACTCTAAATACCCAGGAAAATCACCATTGAATTGACTGTATGTCATGTCATGTCTTTTACACTTTTAGCAAATCTCTAAATCAAGAGAGCAAAGCATTTTACCAATCATTTAGTTAACTTTACAGCCAGTCATCTTTCCCTTGAAATAACTGGACTATAAGAGCAATCCTAAAGAAGTCCATTATTATTTTATTACTGACAATGATTCATTGTGCGGGAAAGTAACAATCTTAATTAACCATCATTATGAGAAGTGGAAGCCTCGGCCTGCTACCTCCTGTTTCATCTTACGCTGAAAGTCCAGTTTTGTTTAAAGAAGGAACAGTGGACCAATTATTAATTTTTAATATTTTGCATCTTTTAGAATGCCTGAGGATTTACCAAGAAAAAATGACTTTGTCATTTGGCTGAAAATGTCTGACAGCCAAATAAAAATCTACAGTGACTTTCTGGGTCTTGAACGAGTGAAAGAGGTATGTTGTAATAATAATGATAATGATAATGATAGTGATAGTGATAGTGATAGTGATAGTGATAGTGATAGTGATAGTGATAGTGATAGTGATAGTGATAGTGATAGTGATAGTGATAGTGATAGTGACAGTGATAGTGATAGTGATAGTGATAGTGATAATGATAATGATAATAATTATTATAATAATATTATTTATTACAGGAGGCTCTCTCACCTACTGGTGATATACAGAGAGGTCCTTTCCTAAGTCTATCATTAGTCACAAAATTAGCGAGGGTTATGGGATTATATGTGAATGATTTTAGTAATGAAGGTCATTTAAAGTTTGCCATAATGTTAAAAATAGAAATCTACTCTCTGGATTTGCATGTATAGTTGTGATGACCATTATATCCTGTACATGAAAAACTACTTTTTCTTACATGTCAGCTCCAGGTGACCTTTATTAAAGTGAAAAATTTATGTTCAGAGAATAAAATTGGAATTGGTGTGTGTGTGTGAGTTTTATTCTTTATTTGCATCAGTTGATAGAATAGACCACTTTCAATATGTTAAAATTCAGCTTAATGGTAAGGCCTAGAGGACAGAAACAAAAGAAATGAATAAAAATGATCATTCAATTTCCTTTGTTTGTGTCCTCTAAGCCTCACTGCCAAGCTGAATTTTAATATATTGAAACTGGTCTATTGTCTGTCAGCTCTGAGCTGGCTATGATTGTAGGAGAGAGACATTCCCCTTACATAATGTTGCACTTAGCAACATTTTTATCAGGATCAGTACTTCTCTGCATGCATTTCAGGCCAATGGAGCAAATTATTGACCTTAACAATACAAATCACAGACCTGTTTAGCAAACAAATATGTCTCTATAGTCCATGTAAATGAGGACTATGATGCTAGTTAAACAGAAAAAGATTAGAGGTCAGTAAAAAGGAATTTAAATGTTCCGACCTTATTGCAGATGTTAATGAGCACTCGATCTCCATTGGCCGAACTGAATGTGTTAAAGAAGATCTGTGATCACCCTCGTCTTCTTTCTACTCTTGCCTGTGAGCAGCTTGGCCTGGACGAAGAAGCCAGGTTTGTTGCACAATTTTGCAATTCACAGTAAGCAATTTGAAAGTTGTGATCCTTGTCTAACTCAAACATACGATCTCGTTCCACAAGCTTTACAAAACGAGCAACTGTGGGAAGTTTCGTAAAGGCTCGATTTTGCTTGGTGGTAAAACATCAGCGACACGATTGAGCAATGTGTCAGCTAGGCTAAACCAAAGTCTTATATTTCAGAACTTTCCAGGGTCACTTGTTTCCCGACTGCTGGCCAAGGAAAGCGATGACTGGATATGACTTTGCCAAGGTCAATTTGAACAGTAATTACTTCCAGTAGTTTGAATTGGGTATAGGTCGATTATATGTTTTCATTCATGACGATTAAGTTGTAATTTCTCAATAGTAATAATTCACATAATGAAAATTCTCATTTTCCAGGTTAGTTGAGATGGACACCGAAGAAGATAGTGCTAGATCATTTGCCACTCAACCAAAGGGGTTGGGTCCTTCAGACAAAGTGCTCACTCAGGAGTCAGGAAAAATGGTCTTCTTAGTGTCACTGTTAGAGAACCTTAAGTCTGAGGGCCATAGGTGCCTAGTGTTTAGTCAGTCCCGGAAAATGCTGGACATTATTCAGAGGGTCATCACACATGTGGTAGGATAATTGTTATTTTTGTTTATGTGTACTTCATTTTAGTGCATTCAGCGATACATTAGCAGTGGTGTCTCTGGGAGGGGATCTGATTTTTAAGAAATAAGTAAATTGAGGTCGAGAGAGAGAGTGTTTCATGAAATTTCCAAACTCTCAGAAGGGAGTTAAAAAATATGATGTGCAAGAAGTAATTTTGGCAATTTTCAAGGTGATATGAAATGCGATAAAACACTGTCTTGGGTTCTTGCTTGATATATTTTCTCAGTTGTACATCAAAAAACACTGATGCCAACGATCAAGAATTGGAAACACCTCGATCTATATCTAGAATAAATGTTCAGTCAGAAGTTACTTTTAGACAATCGAAGACAAGCTAAGACAATGATGGTTTGACAACTCTAACATCAGGCACTTGAGAGGAGAAATGCATTAATGGTACA